TACATACATTATATATATATGTATATATTGTGATATATATATATATATATATATATGTGTGTATAGATATGAAAATTTTGTGCTTGCCTGTGTGGTGCCTTGGAATGGGTCTTTCGTCTTACTAGTATCATAGATGGGTACCGAATCGTACCCACGTGTCATGCCACCTCGCGGTTGGGAAGGTGCACTATGCTACTAACCCACGTTTAACTATATCCCGTGTTTATTTATAACCCGTGTTTAATTGTAACCCGTGTTTAATTGTAACCCGTGTTTAATTGTAACCCGTGTTTAATTATAACCAGTGTTTTAATTATATCCCATGTTTAATTATAACCCATGTTTAATCATAACCGGTGTTTGCCTCAGGTGATGAAGCATCTTCAAACGGGGCCTGGAAGTGGAGTGCCTGTTGTGTGGAGGCGGACATCCACCACACATTTCTACAAACGGTAAGGAGTAGGCACAATCACTTGGTGTTGTGTGTGTTTTTATCTAGTTCCTTGGTCTGTATCTTATGTGCGTGAGTACACGCATTGGGCACAGTCACTTGGTCTTGTGAGTTTTTTCTAGTTACTTGGTCTGTATCTTGTGTGTGTGAGTACACGCTTTGGGCACAGTCACTTGGTGTTGTGTGTTTTTTTCTAGCTATTTAGTCTGTATCTTGTATGTGTGTGAGCATGCGCTGTGTGTGTACCGTTGCGCACTCAAACACACCACAGCAATAGACCGCATGGTGCAGATCCTGTATACGACGTTCTGGGGGGTGCGCTAGTGGATGGGGTACGTTACAGGGCATGAGTGAGCTTGTTATATTATAATTCAAATACATCACACTTTGATCCCAACGAGTGGTTAGGGACTGCTTGTGTCCCGTACGCTTACTATATCATCCAGACTTTACCCACCGCTTTCAGCGCCATACACTGTCACACGTGTGTGGGGGAGTCTCCGGCTCGTACCGTCACCTCTCTGTTATCGCGTACGATTATTCTATGTTACACAGTTGCACCGGATGGTACAAAGCCAAACGTACCATGGGGCTGTCACATATGCTTCACTCACGCTAATGTGGCACGTGAGCGCCCTAATGCTGGCGGGTTAGCCCAGCACTGTTGTCAGATGCATGTAACCGCTGTGAGGTGTTTGATTTCCTATATAGTCCGTAGAGTGCTTTTTGTTTTTGTTTTTTTGCGTGTGTTTAGGGTACGTCAGAAATAAAAAAGTTCGGTACTAGTAGTCGAGAGCTTCCGGGCTGAGCGGAATGTCGAGTCTCACCGGGAGACGGGATGGTGGTGACTGACGGGCAAACCCTCCACACGCGTTCTCAAAGTATTGAGAGAGTGTATTCAACGGGAAATTTCCTGCGTGTTACTTAAGTGGGGGATATTGTTCATATGTTTCGGTTGCTAACATTTTAACATGTACTATCGTTGTATTGTGCGTGTCACAGTGAACTGCATCCGATGCATCGGTGTCTCTTCCGGTACCGTTTGGAACGGTTTGACAGTTTGGCGCTTGACCTGATGAAGAAATTAGACATCCCTGTGATGGATTGGTGGAGTGTGACAGACGGGCGGCAAAGGTTTGTGCGTGTTCTGTACATTTATACATGTTTTGTATATCTGTGCATGCTTGGTACGTTTGTACATGTTCTGTTTATCTGTGCATGCTTGGTACATTTGTACATGTTTTGTATAGGGTCCATAATATCTGAATCATGAGGCCTGATGATTTTCGTTCACACCTTGCTTTGTTCCAAGGGATGACCGATGTCTGCCAATACCATCGTGAAACCTTGTTGATGTTGATACTGAATCGCAAGTCTTACATCTTCTCCAGTTTAAATATACTGTGTAATATAGGAGGTCCAGTTTAAAAGCATTTCGGTACGTGGAGGTATCTAGATGCGATACGGACGTTCATTTGTTCATATTCTCGATATTGTGGAATGCAATAGCAATATTTGATTTTATCAACCAATTGTTGTATGGGTAATCTTGCAAATGTACCTGCGTATAGTATGTGTGTAGTACTGGAATTTTTTATCTACATGTATACATGTATATAGTATATATGTAGTAGTTATATAATACATCTACATGTACACATGTATGTATGTATATTGGCATGCGCTTGACGCGTTCATCACAAATAACATTCCAATTGACATTCCACATACGTAACGACTTGAAGTTGCATATTGACTACCCTTTTTCTATCACAGTCAAATGGATATACAACGATGTACATATACTTTACAAGTTTACTACATATCACAAACATACAGACGTTATCATTAAGAGCGAATACGTCTGTGTATATGCTTATTTACAATGTTTATTTTAAATGTGCAGCGGAACTGCGGACAACAGGCATTGGTTAGACCGAGGCCGATGCAAAGGGACCAGAGTTCAGCTCTCGCAAGCGAACATCTGGGTGAATAAGATAAGCTCAGTCATTGAAAAGGCCAACAATAAATAGCGTATATAAGTATACATAGAGCGTATATAAGTATACATAGGAGTTTTCGTTGTTGTTAATATTTCTTACAGTAGAGGGTGAACTAATTATCCAATACGTCGGTAGGTTGATCGGTAATGCATTGTTACCTGCTACATACACATATACGGTGCGCATGGAATAGTATAGAGAGATGTTTTCTCGTAGAGGTCAACACACTTCGGATGCACAAGCTTGTTGACTTCAGTTTCTTAGCTGTGCCTCAGATTTCACTAGTTGATTGCTTGGAGACACCTTTGTGTGCTCCCTCTAGAATACACTTCCTTTTCGTGGGTTAGTCCGATCGGTCCTAAGGGATCTTCTCTCCCCTATAGTCTCTCACTTGTCTGAGCACTTATAACCTCCCATGCCTCATGGCCAGGCAGGGACAATTAACCAGGACTCGTGTGGACCACACAGGATTCACCCCTCACCCCCGCCTTAGCGGTCACTATACCCAATAGCCTGTTCGCTATATTCTCATGAATAGTACCTCCCGGTTTCTCACTGTGTCACATCTTGGTAGTTAGGTACTGATAGGTACCGAATTCTTAGTCAGGTCGGTCGCTACATTTTATATCCTATACATGAAATTGTCTATTCTTCATATTTTTTTAATATATAAACCCCCTTCAAAATAAAGTATGTAAAACAAATCTGTTTAGGGGAGGTTATAAATAAGATTCCAAAGTTCCATGACTGGCTTTGATGGGTACAAATCGAGTTTTGATCTCCCGTGTCCACAAGGGAGTCCTGAGTGAGTGACCTGACCGCTAACTAAAAACTCAAAAGAGGCCCAGTGCCCAGTGACCCGAGGCACCCGTCCTCAAGGCTTCAAAAGTTTTCTAAATAATACATTTATAAAATATCGAGGAGTCGTGGTATTTCTTATAAAATAATATAACTTTTAAATACCAACAAAAAAAAAGTATGTTTTGTACTGAACAAATTTATCCTAAATTATGGTTGGTCAATAGTCTAAAAGAGAAAGGCAGCCCTCACCCTGTTCAATTTTCGACAGTAGGTAAATATTTTTTAAATAAAATAAAATTTATAGCCTTGCGCAGTTGATGAGATAGAGTTCGTCTTCTAAATAAGGACAATCCAAACTCCAACAGTTACAGTAAGTCAGTAGCAGAACTTACAGAAGGCTGTGCAACCCTCTCTCTACTACTACTAGGCTCTGGGTAAAAACTAAAACATAAAAAAGGCAACTGGAGAACAAGGAAGTCCTATAAAAAATCAACGATATGTAGTGTAAAAATAGTATTTATATATTTTATACTAAAAAAATATATTGTTTATCTGTATTATTTATAAAAAGTAAATACGTTTTGTTTTTATATTTTCAAAATGACCTTCCAAAAATAAAATGGTGCTGACTCCTGGATTCCTGAGGGGATGTAATTTTTTTCATTTTTGAAAGCAAATATTTCCTTTTTGGGAAAAACGAAATCTATTTTTGGAGACTCTCAGTGTCCTCAAAGACTCAGCCTACTCTCTCTATGTACTAAATAGTAAATACATATAGAGATTAGAGAGAGAGTCTACATTATAAGTCATAAAGTATTATTTTTTTTAACTATTTAGAGAGAGAGAGGAAGACTCTCAAGTCGTGAGACCCCAATGGACTCATGGAGTAGAGATGCCAAATAGTCTAGATCACTCATCAGTGATGAGTCCCGTCACTCTGTCTCTGTCTCTCACAGAGAGAGAGTAGAGAGGGTGACTTGAGAGTTGAGACTGAAGCAGAAGTGGAAGTGTGCAGAAATCAAAATAAAAGAACTGTCATTAGGTAACAAGTTAGAAAAATATATATAAAAATATCATACTTATGCAACAATGATCTACAATGCTTCCTGACATTGTTAAAAAAATACAAAAATAAGTCCATTCGAATTGTGGAAGCTTCTCTCTCTCTCGAGAAGTTATACAGACCACAGTCCATACACAAGGGATCAGAGTATCAATTAGAGTGATACGGTCCAGAGGGTAGTCGGAAGCCATGATGTAGATGTCTTCATTTGTGTACAAAAAGAACAAGTCAGCCTCCAGCATATCCATACTCTTGAATTGTGCATTGAAAGTAATAAGATACCAATATGGCACCAACCAATACCCTAAAACGCAAGGAATCTCTGGTGAGCACCCATGAAGCTCCTGCGCCGCTTGCCAAGGGCAAGATGTTGGCTCGCCGTGAAACAGCCACATATCACGAGTACGCACCCTCCGAGAAAGGCTCACGCCACACCATAACCCCATTATTCGAGGCGAAGCACAGGGCGTTTAAGGCTAATTTCTTCTCGCGCAATCCAGGTATATTCAGGACTTTTTTTGTCACTTATTTGTGTTTTTCTGAACATCATCTAGTTACCATCGCACCGAAATATCCATGTTGAAGCATATGGGAGGAAATCACCCTGTAGTGATGATGTACTAATGTTTGTACTGGATTATCTGTACGTCTAATTTAGAGCTATGGCCAGTATTTGCCAATGAAGATGCGTTGGAGGTGATTACATGGAGGCAAGTGACCTTCCAAATGGAGTAGCACGCCGGGAGGAACTAATCAACGGTCCCGTTCCAGAGGAAATGGGCACCACTGAAGGCATCAAGCAAATGCGGTCAGATATCAATTTTGCTACAAACTTTCCAAGAACTGGTACACACCTCTCTCGAATGAGAATGTGATGAGTCAGCCGAGTGACCCAAGTGTCCACGGAATGGTATGAGATATCTTTAAAACAACCATAATTTCGACAGCTGAGCATTTCCGCAGTAAGTATAGATAGTATAAACTACGTATTATGGTAAGAACTTTGCAAACTCACTCGAATTTCGATTGTTTCCTTGTAGTACATGTGCATGCTCTCGAATCCCAATAAGGTTCATTACGAATACGCAAAAATGGAGGCTTATCTTGAGGACACCGTGACATAGATGATTGGTCGACAAGTGGAGTATGACCCCACGCGAGTAGCAGGCATATTCACGTCCGGTGATACCTTCTGCAACCTCTATGGTTATCTACTTAGCATCCGCAAGGCTTTCCGCGACAGTGTGCATCGGGGCATACCATCAGGTAAGAAAATATTATTCATCAGGTTCAAAGGCGCTGAACAAATGTTGTGAAAACACAGAATTACTGTATATTTGGCTTTTCGTTCTTATACTCACAATACTCTCTACCCCAATATCCCACAGAACAAGACTACCGTTTTATCCACTCGATATCCGGCCATTACTCTAATGTGACAGCACTCAGCACACTGGGAACGGACATCCAGGGAAAGTCCATCTCGATTAAAGCACTTAAAGATAACACTGTCGACTGGTATAAGAACCACAATAGTGTGATTTCATGTTTGTTTTTTTTGTGATTTTGACATGTGTGCTCGCACCAAATTTGTACGGTGATACTTGGCGTATATAAACTTGATATGGAACTATACCAGGGACAACTTGGAGCGACAACTTGATGACTGTTTCCGGCTGAATATCAAAGTACCGTGCATTCTCTTGACAATTGGTACTACGGACACCTTCGGTGTAGATGACCCAAAGAAAGCTTACAACATTCGCGATAAGATGATCCGGAAGTATGGTCTCAAGGATGATTGGATTCCACACTTACACTGCGATGCGGCTGTTGGATGGCCAATGATGTTTTTCAATAATTACAATTTAGAAGAAAACCCGATTGGGTTGAATATTAAGACCCTCGAGGTAATTGCTCAGCACAGGTACGTAATACATACGTGTCTTAAAGAACGATTATTGGATTGATTCTTTTTAAGTACACTTGATTCCGCTATTGAGCAAGTGTCTGCTTCGCCACAAAATAAAAAACTTGGAACGAGTTGTGATCTGATGCGATCATTGTGAATTGAAATTATTTACGATGAAAGTTATTTGTTTATGCAGCAGCCCCTATTGTTTCCGAGCATTTGTTGGACGAGAACGTTCCATATATATACTTATTGTGTATAACTATTCCAAATTATTGTCAGAGAGATGTTCCGAAATCTCAAGTATGCGGATTCCATCACCTGTGACTTCCATGAAAAAAGATCTAAACTTCATGTCAAACGACCCTGAAAATTTCTCATACTTCAATGCCGATCCCCAAGGACATACGCAATTTCACAGCACCATCGAGTGTTCTCGACCAGGTGTGGGCGTATTCGGCGCCTTTGCTTCTCTCAGGTATGCTTGCATAAATTTCCGACTTTTTTTACGATCTTTCTGTACTTCGTATGCTCAAGTCAAACAATGCATATGTGTATATTCGCGCACCCTCACGCACATAAATAAATATCCGTGCGTCAAAGCGGGCTATTTGGCTCAGGGGCAATAGAATATATATATATATATATATATAGATATAGATATAGATATAGATATATAGATATATAGATAGATA